ACTACATCTTAGTAACTTGTTTGAAGTAAATTGAAACTTCTAGCTACCTTATTGAGATGGTGGTCAGAGGTTGAAAAAATTTAATATGGTCAGAGCACTTCAGAGGTTCAAGTAGGGTACAATGATTCTCAAAAGTTTGGAAATGAATGAAGGGAGACCCTCTATTTATAGATGAAGAGAATGAAATGCCGAGAGGGGTGGAATGATCAAAGAGTTGAAGAATTCATGCGCACCCTCGTCATGTCAAAAATATAACTCTCAAGTCATCAAAACTCAACCAAAACTTATATTTCAAATACTAACTTCTGAAAACTCGCTAAACTTAATTAGGCATGATTAAAAGAACAAAGAATGAATTAAACCTTAATTTTAATAAAGATGCACCGACATACTGTAAAAAAATTATTTATAGTATTTTGAATCATTCCTTTTCTCAAAATGATTTTATGAAAAAGCTGAAACATACTAGCCAAATACGTGAGTGAGTATGTTTGTTGTGAGCCTTCTCTACCCTTTACGACGGATCCACATCATTCATATCCGACCCGGCCCAGGCTCAACCCATTAACCGGCGGTTCCTTACCATTAGTGGATTGAGTAATTGAGCCCTGGAACACGGTGTAAAGAACAAAGAATTGTTTTGCCTTTCTCTGCTATTGAAAAGCGAAAACAGATTAAAAAGTGATTTGAATAAGCGAAATTGCGCCTGCAGGTCACATTGGTATTCAATTTTTACTCTTTGTTGCAACGTTTCTTCCTTCTATCGTTTGAATAATCTTCAATGTTCAGTATATTATGTTGTGTAATTTCATTCAACACTGATTTACCATTTTCTATTCTTTATCATTTGTTACTAGGTTTTCACTGAATCAATGTTTATAGCTAATATTTTGCAAGTTTGGTTCTAACTATGTTTAGATGTGTGACAAGATTCACCTTTTTAGTATAGTGTATCCCAAGTGTTTAATAAATTGCTTATATGTGAATAGCTTGAAATTGAAATTTCTACTCTAATCTGTTATATGGCTTGTAAGATAATTACATTCTGGAAATTTTTGGGCTAAGCATGTCAATTATGTGATTTATTTTGAGTTATTGATTTCCAATTTTTTAGTCGAACTGATTGCAAAATGTTTATGTAGCGGACCATAGGTTTACAAAAATTCAATATGAGAAACAACGGAAAGGGTAGCGGGCAAATTGCGGAAGGCGCATAGCGGTTGGAATAAATAATTATATATAAAGTAAAGATGTTGTACACAAATTAAAGCTGCATAAACATACATTAAAAAAGGGACTTTCATAAAACTTAAAATCTATGTAGTTCAAACTAATATTAAAGCATGATGCATAGTTGGGTAGATTGCTGCAGAAAATCAGAAGCAAATAGAGATTAAAGTGACTTAGAGATGAAATGAAGTATGAAGTGAAAAGAGAAGATGGAGAGGCATAGGTGGTTTAGTGATGGAAGATCACCTAGGTCGTGGGTAATAGAGTTTTGTAAGAAGAGCATATTCAAGAAGGAGAGTTTTGTATTGATTAAATCTCAAATGAATGAATACACTGTTATGCTTTATATAGACAAGCTTTGCGTAACAGAAAGTACAACTCAACATAACTAACTCTAACAGTTAGTTATGACTGATAACAGATTTATATTAAATGCTGCCAGGTCAGCATTTCTAAGCTATTCTATTCTATGCTTATACTATAATATTTCCCCTTCAAATGCTACTACTCTGAGAGAGTCATTTGCATCCTTGAAGTGAGGATTTGTCCGCAACCTTCAAGTGATCTTTAAGTGTGAGAAATCTGAGAGCTGAGAGAGGTTTAGTCAGAATGTCTGCTGTTTGTGAAACAGCTGAAATATGCTTGACAACCAAGGTGTGGTTAAGCACCTTTTCCCTTTGGAAGAAGATGTCCAATTCCATATGCTTAGTTTTAGCATGCAGAACAGGATTATGTGAGAGAGCCACAGTGCTTAAGTTGTCACAAAGCAGAAGAGGAGTTTGAGATGGGATCTGAAGTTCTGCTAGGAGAGACTTGATCCACAGGACCTCTGCAGCAGTACTAGCTAAACTCCTGTATTCTGCTTCAGTGTTGGATCTGGCTACTAGAGTTTGTTTCTTAGACCACCATGAGACCAAATTAGAGCCAATGAAGATACAGGACCCTGATGTAGATTTCCTATCATCAGGGTCAGAGCCCCAATGAGCATCAGAATAAGCTGTGATGGAAACAGAGGGGGAGGAAGTGTAAGGTGACATTTGCAGACCATGATGAAGTGTGCCTCTGAGATACCTGAGTATTCTCTTGACTGCTACCCAGTGGCTTTGCATTGGTTGAGACAAAAACTAACATGCTTTGTTGACAGCAAAACTGATTTCTGGCCTGGTAATTGTTGCATATTGTAAGGCCCTTACTATAGATCTGTAGTAAGTAGGATCTTGAAGGTAATCTGACCCTTCCTTAGTCAGTTTAAGATTTGAAACCATAGGGGTGGGCAAGCTCTTTGCTTCACTCATGTTGGTCTTGACTAAGAGATCTCTCACATATTTGGTTTGAGAGAGAAAAAGGCCACCTTGAGATGTTTTGGAAACTTCAATGCCTAGAAAGTAGCTTAAGTCACCTAGCTGTTTGAGAGAAAACTGATTATGAAGTTTGGTAACTAGGCTTTGAATCTGAGTAGGAGAGCTGCCAGTGACAATGATGTCATCTACATATACTAGCATAAAAATAGTATAAGTAGAGGTGGATAAAATGAATAGGGAGGGGTCACATTTACTTGTCACAAATCCAAGTGAATGGAGAGCACCTGTAAGTCTTTCAAACCATGCCCTAGGAGCCTGTTTTAAACCATATATGACTTTGTTTAGTTTGCAAACAGAAGTGGAATCAGTGTGGACAAAACCAGGGGGTTGTTGCATATAGACTTTCTTAGTGAGAATGCCATTTAAGAAGACATTGTTCACATCTAGTTGAGTGATTGGCCACTGCCTAGTTAGGGCTATAGAGAGCACCACCCTGACTGTGACAGGTTTGACCACAGGGGAGAAAGTTTCCTGAAAATCAAAACCCTGAACTTGATGAAATCCCTTTGCAACCAGTCTGACTTTATACTTAAGGACAGACCCATCAGGATTTTGTTTGATCCTAAAAACCCATTTGCATCCTATTGCCTTTCTGCCAGGAGGAAGAGTAGTGAGAGTCTATGTTTGATTATGTAACAGTGCATTGTACTCAGCAGTCGTGGCCTCTAAGCATAACAGGATTTAAGGGTTATATAAGACCCATCTCATCACTAACTCGACTTTATTTTATTTATAATGTTTGTAAGAATATGGCATGTACTGCTCACATGATATTTTTAATGCTTTTATCAGGGAAAAGGCATAGAAAACAATAACTTCCAATATGTAAGTCATAAATGTTATCACCAATATGCAAAAAGCCACCGCTATTGCGATGGTAGCAGAATTGCAATAGCGTATTGGCTTTCGTCGCAGTTGCTCCAAATCCCAATATGTAATAGAGGTATATGTATAGAGATGCTATACTGGCTATTTAACAACACTAATGTGTTGTATATATTCCATAAATATTTCAGAATTTTATGAAGTAATTTGGTCTAACGTCCATAATTTATACCCAAGACTGGTCAAGAGTTTGGTTGCTTGTATTCTTGCATGAGTTGATTCAAAATTATGCTAAATCTTTGAAGATATGATCTTGATGATTTCCACACATGTTTGTAGACCTTTAAGGTGTTTTTAAAATGGTTTGAAATCAAATTTTGTTTCTATAAAATTGGAAACATAATTTTGGGAGCTCATTGTCTATACAAAAAATAATATGTTTTCCCTTGTTTTTGATTGAACACTTCAAGCATTAGTACCCTCTTGTAAGATTTCATTGCATGTTAAGCATTAAGTTTATGAAGTTAATTTGGTGTAACTCGTAATGGGGACCACTTGAAGTGGGAGTGCTATAATGTATTGTATAAGTCAGGAATTCCTCTTGCGATGTAATCTTCTTTTATGAGGGATTGGTTGTGTTATGCTTCTAATATAAAGGAGGTGTGGTATTGAATAAGTCATAGTCAACTGGTTTGCAATTTGTTTTGGTACATTGTACGGGTTCAAGTATGCTGTATTCATCTTTTGAAGTATTGGGTACTTGGTGTATACATAGTTGATACCTTATTTTGGTTTGTCGTACATTCAAATATTTTATTTGGTACGCTAACAATATTTGTTTATCTTGTCTAAATAAAAACAACTAAATACATGTTAAAATTAAGGGCAGTTTCATCTTTCATAACAAAAGAGATGAAAATAGTCCCATATAGATAGTTAACTGAAAATTACATTGTTCCTTCGGTTTAAGCTTTTACACTATAGCTAAAATAGTCCCACATCTGAAGCTTTTGAAAAAAAGAGAGGAGGATTGATAATATAAAAGGCGGCGTATATGATAATACAGCACCGGGGAACCAAAGTAGTGTGCCATTGTAAACTTGAAGGTGCTGGGTCCCATCTCCGGTCAAATCTGGTCAATGATTTCCAATGAGTTGTTTTTTTCTTGGGAGTTTCTATATTACCAGATGACTTGAAGTGAACTGTTCAAATGGATTGTGTTCTTCTACGAAAGGGGCATTAATTTTTGCAAACCTATTTGCAAAAGTAACTTGAATTGGTATGTATGGATCATGTTCTTCTACGAAAGGGGCATTAATTTTAGCAAACCTATTTGCAAAAGTAACTTGAATTGGTACGTACGGATTGGTTCTCATGGCAGTGCGAATTATGTTGCTATGGACTAAGTAATCTATTTTGCAGTATTTCCTTAAAGAATGGAAGGAAATAAATTCCTATATTAGGAGGTTACAATGTATGTTTGTACTTGTAGATGACATATAGATAATCATTCTGTTTCTTATTATGCAGTTGACAACTTGAACTTTATTAGGTTAAAGTTTCTACTTGGAAGTTGCTCTTGTAATGGATATAATCTCTCAGCTACAAGAACAAGTTAATTCGATTGCAAATTTAGCTTTTAACACCGTTGGGACATTGCAAAGGGATGCACCTCCTAATCGGCTCTCACCAAACTATCCTAAACCACCACCTGCACAGCCTACGGAGGATGGGGCCAACTTTTCTGAAGAACCAAACCTGATGAGTGCTTCTTTGGTGAAAGCTGCTAAGCAGGTACATAGCATTTTAGTCAGAAAAAAAGGAGCCAATAGTTTAGTGTTTGAATTATGTTTAGAAAGTTTCTAAGAAGCTTTATATATATGTTATGTAGTATTGTAGAATTGGTGGATAATTTTCTGAATATTATTTCAAACACATTAAGAGTCGAATCACTATACTATTAAAATAGACTATGTTATTCCTAACCGGCTGTATATAATCGGCTCTTCTAATAATTACAAAAAATATGATCATATTTACAACCATAATAATTACAAAAAAATACGATCATATTTACAACCAGTATCAAGCACATGTTGAAATATATTCTACTCAATAGCAAAAAGAATATAAACTTGCTTATTGATATAATTTGATTGTCCTTTTAGGACAGTAAACTTGAGACTGAAATTCTTGTTGTATCATGTGAGGGGAATGTACACACACACACGAGTCTCCTAGTCGATCCCAATAGTTAGGGAAATAATCAACTAAGAAAGGAAAGGCAAATTAATATAATCAAGATATAATAACACAATATCCTAACCCACATGGTTCTCGTAGAGGACAACTTGCACAATGCTCATTTTTAGATTTTAGCCAAGACTGGACATATTCATAGATCCTAATTAACCAAGAAAGTCTGGATATTTAATTCTTATTTTGTCCATCTATACCTCATTATGCATCCTTCATTCTCTTTTCTATCTTAAAAACTTGTTCTATTTGAAAACTAATGCGGGGTCTGTGGAAATATATCTGTTTCTTCTGCAGTTTGATGCATTGGTTGCATCACTTCCAATATTTGAGACAGGTGAAGAAGCACAGCTTAAGGGGATTGCAGAACTACAAGTAAGAAACTCTTAGCTCACTGACTGCTCTTTATATGTTTTTGGTTGACAGTAGTTTATAACAGCTAGTTTAATTTTAACAATTAGTGTTGTATTATGGTTTTTTCGTTGTTTCTTGATTTTGCCTTATAGGCTGAAAATGATGCAATAGGCCAAGAACTTCAGAAGCAATTGGAAGCTGCAGGTTTGTCAATTTTTTTCTATGTATATCTTGAGTTCTCTTAACACATTAAATGTTAATTCATGTAAAATAGAAAAAATAAGATTTGTTGAGTTCTTCGTAAGTTATATTCTTTGAAAAAGATGCTCGGGGTATATTATATATATGTAAAGCAAATAGCAGAGTAGTGTTAAATTTAAGAAAATTGAATTGAAAGTATCAAATGGGTTTGTTCAGTTAAAGAGCATTTCATATGCTATACTGCTGCAGTTATTTGGCGACATTAATTTGCCAATGATTTGCTTTCTCCGGTTAAAAATTCAAGATACAACACAGCCAAGATATGATGACAAAAAGTCTATATACTTATATGAATTTAATTTGTATACACCAGCAGTGTAAAAAAATTCTACACTTGAATCCAACCATATCTCATAAATACGCTACTATTTTTCACTATAATTATCCAACAAAGGGTTCTCCGCCCTTCAGAACATTCTAGAGAAGACTAGGAGGAGTGGTAGTGGCAGGTTATGGGAATTGAAGTCTTAAAAGGAGGCTAGCCACAATCACGTTGCAACAAATAAACTTTCGAATCAGGAACAAGTAGCGTTGCAAGAGCTGTTGCTGCGGCATGTAGACATTTTCTATGATCTTACAGGGCCTCTGTCTCCCTAGGAGGGAGAGAGATCATCCTATCACCTTGTTACTCGGCCAAGGTCTGCTCAATACAAGACCCTATCGATACCCTCGCCATAAAAAAGTGAAATAGAGAAGCAAGTGAAGGAGTTGATGGAGGCAGCGGTCATTAGGCATCACAGCGGTGCTTTTCGAGTCCGGTCATACATCTACTAGTCAAGAGGAAGAATGACTCATGGAGGATGTCTATGGATTACCAAGCTCTCAACAAGGTAACTTTTCCAGCTAAATTTCCTATTCCGGTTATAGATAAGCTTCTTGAGGAATTGCATGGAGCACAATTTTTATTGAAGTTGAATTTGAAGACCGGATATCACCATGTGAGGCTCAAGGCAGGGGAATTCATAAAAGACGGCTTTTCGTACTCACGAAGGGGATTATGAGTTTCTGGTTATGCCTTTTGGCCTCGTGAATGCACCTTCGACGTTTCAATCTCTCATGAATGAAGTTTTTAGACCTTGGTCGAAGAAGTTTGTGTTGGTGTTTTTTGATGATATACTTATATATAGTAAGGATTGGGAAACTCATATGGAACACGTGGCAGTTGTGACTTGTGATGAAGGTTTTAGAGAGAAACAAATTGGTAGCTAATAAAATGACATGCCAATTTTCTCAAAGAGCGGTAGAGTATCTTGGGCACATCATTTCAAGAGAAGGGGTGGCGGTTGATCCAGGGAAGGTGGGTCAGTGTAAAGTATTGGCCTGTGCCTAAAAACATGATGGGAATATGTGGATTCCTAGGCCATAAAATGAGGAGTTTAGTGCTTTGGTTTCTTTTCCAGTATGGGAGGAAGGTGAACTGGTAAAAGAAGAGGTGCACAAAGATTCAGTGCTGATGAAGATCATAGGAGAGATTTGAAGGGGAACAAGGAGGCAAGACCTGGTTTTACTTGCAAACCAGAAGTGTTGTCATCCGAAGGGGGTTGGTGCTTTCTGCTCAATCATCTTTAATTCATACGATGTTAGAAAAATATCACATTATCCCACATGGAGTACATTCAGGTTTTTACTGTACGTATAGGCATATGGCAACAAATATTTATTGGGTAGGATGAAGAATCGGGTATAGGAGTTCGTAAAGGCATGTGACACTTTCCAACATCAAAATTGTTTAGCTACTTCACCTGGGGGTCTGCAACCGCTCTCAATTCTGGGAGCAGCATGGGAAAAAACTTCGATGGATTTTATAACGGGGTTATCAAAATCCAAGGGGGTATAAGGCTATGTTGGTAGTGGTGGACTGTCTCAATAGGTATTGTCACTTTGCCTTTAAAACACCCTTACACTACGTGGACAATAGCAGAGGTCTTTGCCAAAGAGGTGATTCGTTTGCAGGGAAACGGGTGGACAAACTGAGGTGGTGAATCGCTGTTTAGAGACGTACCTTTGTTGTGTCATCGTTGATCATCCTAGAGCATGGTTGTATTGGGTACCGTGGGCAGAATTCTAGTTTAATACCACTTTTCACGCAGCTACAGGTTGCATCCCATTTGAGTTAGTATACGGAAGGAAGCTGCCAACCATTAGACTGTTGGCAGGGGAGACAAGGATGGGGGCTGTTCAGAAGGAATTGAGTGATCAAGATGAGGCGTTGAGACAACTGAAACACCACCTCCAAATGGCACAGGGCAGGATGGAACAATTTACTGATTACAAAAGAGTGATCTCAACTTTGGAGGAGGAGAATGCTCTTTTTTAAAGCTACGGCCGCACCGTAAAAAATCAGTTGAATCACGTATCAACGTGAAACTAGCAGCAAGATACTACAGTCCGTATCAGATAATATAACGGTTGGGAGCAGTAGACTACAAGCTTAAGTTGCCGGAGGGATTGGGAGCAAGGTAGTCAAGCACGGGATCTTAAGTAGGATCGGACGGCCTGCAAAAGATCGTAAAACTAGGATCGTAGCACGGCACTTAAGATCTTACTAAAGGGTAAAACGGTAATTTCACATGGACAAAAACATGAAAAATTATAATAAATGAACAAAATAACCTATAAATCATAACACTCAACCAATTTAATTAATAACGCAACCATCATTTCATAATTTAATAAGTTCAAAAGACAAAGTCCAAAATAAGTAGCTCAAAAAACATAAATATAGCAAACAAGATATAAACCTAACAAGTCTAATTATCTAAAATGTTATGTATTCCCATATCATGATAGTCATATGAATCCTCCTCCTCATCTTCATTATCTTCTATTTCAAAGGCATCATCTTCAACAATGGAAGGAACATCTAAATCATCACCAATACCACTAGCATCTTCTCCAACATCAAGGGTAATATCTTCATCATCTTATTATCCTCCACATTCTCAATCCATTCCCCCCTTCATTTTCAGAGTCAATTTCATCAACCTCATAGTTAACACTCTTTCTCTTTTCCTTCTTTTTCCCCAATTTTGAGTTAGTCATCACAAAAACCACCTTATTCATCGTGTTTTGCTTTAAACGATTCCTCTTCTTAGTGTGAACCTAGATGATTATAACACAAATGATTAAAACATAATATATGTTTAAAATACAATTGCTCAATAAATTTGAAAATTACCCTTTCAAAAGCACTCCAGTTTCTTTCACATCCCGATGAGCTACATGTCAAGCTAAGAACTCTCAAAGCAAACCATTCCAATTCAGGATGACATCCTCCATAAGAATCCCACCATTGTGTTGGTGTTTTAGTTTGAAGTGCAAATGTAGCAAATTCACTACCGAAAGATCCAACTTTTCCTTTGAAATCCTCAAGTTGAAGATCAATCATGCCTCTTTGTTCCGGATCTTCCACCATTCTAGCCAAACATTCATACAAGCCATTTTAGTTTTACACCCCAATGTCAAATAAGAAGTGGCAAAACGAGTCATTTTAGATAATTAGACTTGTTAGGTTTATATCTTGTTTGCTATATTTATGTTTTTTGAGCTACTTATTTTGAACTTGGTCTTTTGGACTTATTAAATTATGAAATGATGGTTGCGTTATTAATTAAATTGGTTGAGTGTTATGATTTATAGGTTATTTTGTTCATTTATTATAATTTTTCATGTTTTTGTCCATGTGAAATTACCGTTTTACCCTTTAGTAAGTTCTTAAGTGTTGTGCTACGATCCTAGTTTTACGATCTTTTGTAGGCCGTCCGATCCTACTTAAGATCCCGTGCTTGACTACCTTGGTATTAGCAGCCCGTATCACTGATAGGGGAGGTGATTCAATGGGCCGGTAGAACTTCAGAGGAGGCTACGCGGGAAGACATAATCTTGATCAAAAGATGTTGATGTTAGTTACTTGAGATACAAGTTAGTTAGATAAGCACAACTTGTTTTCATATTTTATGTATTGAATATGAATTCCGTTGTGTGAACTAATAAAACTCTTTTTCTCACCTTCCTCAAACCATGAAAATTTTCATCAACTTAATTTTTTCGTACTGCAAATGCAATAATAACAAAATATACATGTTTACCCTTGTTTGGATTTTACACTGGTACTTTATTTAAGTAAAAGATAGATGCAGCCTAACATGTAACATTTTTTTTTTGGATTTTTGATGCCAGCGAAAGAATTAAATCAAGTTCAAGAGTTGTATAGCCAAGCAACAGATAATTGTTTGAACTTGAAGAAACCAGATATCAGTTAGTTACTTGTGTTGTTACTAGCTGAGCTTGGAGAAGAATCACAGGCATGAGCTAATCTATCTCATCTCAACTCAAATCAGGGCCTGCTGCTGAAACATATTACTTTTTAGCATGAAGTCTTTATTATGAGAAATTGATTATACGCTTTCATGTATTGTAAATTGGTCATGTTGGATGGCATTTTGTAGAAACTTGTAAAGATAATGATGGTATTGCTCTCCCCCAAAAGGAAAAACTTATTACGGTTCGCTAATTATTATATCGGGAAAGTTATTTTTGACACCTTAAAGGTGTCTTATACTGTACTTGTATACTGTTGTGGTTTTTTTTTTTATAATAATTATTTGTTGTATTAAGGTTTTGAAAAATATTGCAATTGAAGGTAATCTCATGCAAGGTAGATAACTGATCTAGATATTTAATCTCTAATGGTTAAAAAATCAGTCAAATATGATATAAATACGGTATAAATATCAGTCAAAGTATCTGGTATATAAACCAGTCGTAATAATTTTTTAAATGATGAGAAATTTAAATGATTTTCAAAGTGAATTAAATAATGGTAATTTGACTAATTAAAATAATTTTTCAATTAAGAAGAAATTCAATTAACTCTCCAAAAAGAATCTAAAAAATAATACTTTATAAATTTTCAATTCAAATAGGGAGAAATTAAAATAATTTTCTAAAGAGAATTTAAAAAAATACTTGGAAAATTCAACAAGTAAAAAGAAAAGGGAAAAACTTGATGCTTCGATAATTTGGAAGTCGTGAAATTATGAGAAGGAGGAAGAAAAAGTTCAATAAACTTTTGGTGTATTTTGGAATGAAGTATAAGCAATGTGAGACTTGGAGAATTTTTAATTCATCCCTGTATTGAAATAATGACATAATGTTTCAACAATCCCCCACTTGAATTTAAAAAGATGATTCCAGAAGGAACGTCAAACGTTTCTAAAATTGTGTATAAGCAACGGTGTCTAGGACTTGAAGCTTTGTGTAGCAAGTAGGATTTCGATTCAAAAAGAGTGACACAATTGTATTGAACTCTATCTCAGACATCAAACCCGTACCAACCTTTTCTTAAGGTGTATTCTAATAGCCCGTGCTTTAATGGTCTTGCACGCGTATCCCGGTTTAGTGAAGGCTCTAGGAATTCTGCCTCAAAATTTAATAAGAACCGACCTAAGTTTCACAATCACATATGCGAGTCTATCAAAAGTACTCTTGTAACTTAGGTACTCCCACGTAGAGTATAGATCTCATTAAGAGCTTTTATTATCTCATCCTCTTATTACTTTAGGATTCTTGCTTTACTTATTTATACTCGTATGATCATCTCATATTACTCACAACTTATTATTATCCATTGAATATGTTTCTTGGAATCTCCAGTCATTTAGGTGGGGTTACCATCATGAGCAACTCATTTCTCTATAAGCATGAGTCCCATTTTCTTGGATGTATTATGGACTTTCTCTCTAGCTAATCATTTCGCCAAAGGATCTGCTAAATTAGAGATAAAATCTCTAACATTGTTGTGCTTTCTTCTAATTTGACGTATTTTACCATTATAATAACGTTTTTAAATTTTTGCAATAGTCGTGGTACTATCGTAGTGGATCAACACAACAAGCATGTGTTTTTCCCACAAAGAGATCTCAGCTAGAAAGCATTTTAAGCAACTTGCTTCTTCACTAGCAGTCACTAATGCTATCATCTCAGACTCCATTGTGGACTGAGCCAAGATAGTCTATTTCTTTGATTTTCAAGATACATCTCCTCCAACTATACTAAATATATAGCCATTAGTTGCTTTGAAATTATCTGACAAGGTATTCTAATCTGCATCATTATATCCTTCAAGTATAGCAGAAAATCTCCAATAATGTAAACCGAGATTCATGGTCCTTTTTAAGGTACTGCATGGCTCGCTCAATAGCTTTCCAACGCTCATTACTCGGCCTACTAGTAAACCTGCACAACAATCCTACGACATATACAATGTCAGGTCTAGTACAATCATTGACATACCTAAGACTTCCATTGATGCTTACATATTCAGTTTGTTTGACACTATCACTAGTGTTTTTAAATAGTTTTACACTTGGATCGTATGGTGTGCAAGCGGGTTTATAATCAAAGTAGTTATATTTCTTTAAGGTATTCTTTACATAATGAGATTGATCTAAAGAAATTCCTTTTTCGGATCTAGTGATCTTGATTCCAAGAATCACACTCGCTTCTCTGAGGTCTTTCATACCAAAATTATTGCTCAACAATGATTTCACATCATTAACGACTTGAATGTTTGATCCAAATATGAGTAGATCGTCTACATAGAGACATGTGATAGTGCAAATGTGATTCTTATAGTTGTAATAAACACATTTTTCACTTGCAAACCTTGTTTTCTTGCCCATGAATTACAAACCCTTCCGGTTTGTCCATATAGATTTCTTCTTCTAAGTCACCATTTAAAAAATCTTTTTTAACATCTATTTGGTGTAGTATTAAGTAATAAATAGCAGCAATTGAAATCAGTACCCTAATGGGTGTAATTCTAGTGGCTGGAGAAAAAGTATCGAAGAAATCTATATTTTCTCTTTGCCTAAAACCTTTGGCTACAACGTGGGCCTTGTACTTATTAGTTGTTCCATCAGGTCTTAGTTTCTTTTTCAAAACAAATTTACAACCAATTGGTTTGCAACCAGGAGGAAAATTCTACTAAGTCCTAGGTCCTGTTAGATGCTAGAGAATTTATTTCATCGTTAATAGCTTCTTGCCACAAATCTGTATATCTAGAAATGGAAAAGCTTCTTGAAGATTTGTTGGATCTTCTTCTACTGTATAAGCCGCATAATCGGACCTATAGTCTTTAGAAACTCTCACTTGTTTACTTCGTTGAAGTTTTATTTCTACTTCATTGTTGCTTTCGGTGTAAATTATCACAGGAATGTGATTTGATTCAGTACCCGCACTATTTCTCTATTTGAAAGGAAATTAATCTTATATACTTCAACATCATTTGATTCTATGATCACTATAGCATTTAGGTCATAACACCAATATAAAGGTGACAAAAATACACAAGAAGGGGAAGTTGAATTGTATTTTGCAAATATTAGATTTACTTCTAAAACAGAGTTCAGATTCTAAAAATTAAGTCCAGAATCTGATATGGTGTAACAAAAATAGAAACAGAAGTAAAGTAAAAATAACAAAGAACACACAATAGTTACCTTGGTTCATCTCCCAACTGAGAGTACTCCAGTCCCCTTGCCAAACAAGAGATTTTCTACTATAATCAACTAGATTAGACTTGCTTATACACATTTGTATAAGACTTTTCTTTTTGCTCAGACCACTTGTCCAAGACTTCACTTGCTTAGAGCTCGTGTCTAAGACTTTACTTTGCTTAGAGCTCATATCTAAGACTTCACCTTACTTATAGCTCGTGTCTAAGACTTCACCTTGCTTAGAGCTCATGTCTAATACTTCACCTTATTTAGAGCTCGTGTCTAAGACTTCACCTTGCTTAGAGCTCATGTCTAATATTTCACCTTATTTAGAGCTCGTGTCTAAGACTTCACCTTGCTTAGAGCTCGCGTCTAAGACTTTCCATTTCTCAATCATCTCCTGACCGAGACTTATCTTGCTTAGAGCACCTGCCTAAGACTTTACCTTACTCAAGCCTACAACAAGAGACTTATATTTAAACATATAGCTTATAGAAGGATTAACTTACAACAACACTTGATAAAATATCATAGGTGTTCAAATAATACAACACACTTTTACAAAGATTCTTAATCAACACAAGAGTAAGAATTCTTAACAGACTCAGCTTTTTCAGTTGTATTCACAACGTTATTTCTTGGTGATCTTCAAATCTTCAGCTTTTTTTTATAGCAAAAGAAAATAGAGACGTTGGAGATCTTCAACGGCTACAAACATAATCAAATATTCTAGTACATCTTCTTTTCCAATAAAGCAAGTGTTGAAACTTTCAGTCACAAGAATATTAGTGAAATAAGGCCTTTGTCCATAGGATACAACTATGATTCAAGTACAAAACAACCTATAGAATATAATGTCAATAAATCTTGAGTCCCGTGTTAGCATAACTGACTTGACATTACTCAGCATCAAAGGCAGCATAACATGCTTCTGAGTTGGAGTGTACTAGCAGCTACTTTTCTGATCAGACTTTCTCGAGAGAGCATGATCAGAACTGAACCAAAGTTGTTTCAGTGTCAGAACCAATTTCGTCAAGTAAATATAATTTTGTACACATAAACTAGCTAGTTAGAAATCCTAATTGATTTTCAAATACTTTGTTATCATCAAAATCTTGGAGGATGTATGGTATAACCCAAACTTGTTTCAACAATCTCCCCCCTTTTTGATGATGACAACATTAAGTATTTTAAAAAACAATCAGAAGAAAATTAATTACTTAACAACTTTCAAGGTCTGAGGATTTTAAGCTCCCCCAGAGTCAAATAGTCTAAGAGGTGGGGTTTATAAGCCCCCCCTGAGTTCTGTCTATAAAGTCTAGGAGTTGAGGTTTGTAAGCTCCTCTCCATACAGAACAATAAATCAACTCCAAGAGTGAGATTCATAAACTCCCCCTAAATAGAATAGCTAACCACATTCAGAATCATTATTAACCTAAAATACTCAATCCATTCTCCCCCTTTGTTATCAATCAATAAGAGAAGAGAAAAAAGACTCTAGCAAAGACTAATGGTTTATCATCATAAAAAGTCATTTTGTCCCCTTTACTTTAGGCCTTAGAATGATCCCTATAAATTGGTACCATACTTTTTCCATAGGAGTAAGAGTAGAAGGACTTTCAGAAGGACCTTTGTTACCATAGATGATTTGTAAATCATTTTCGGAGTTGTTGTAACAGACAGAATCAGACAATCATTTTGCTCACTTTGATGAATATGAGCATTGACCCAAAAGTCTTTCACAAGATCTAGAAACAATTTGT